TGTTTCTAACTCTCTATCTCTCTCCCTTCCTCTCTGTAAAAAATCAATAAAATATATTAAAAAAAACAACAACAAAAAAACAAAAAAAACCCCAAAACAAAACAAAAAAACACCCAAAAAACCAAAGGTTAATACCCATTTAGGTAGCAGAGAAAAATATGAAGTGCCTATATAAAACTTACAAATAAAAAAATTAAAAACAATCAAATTTTGCTATAACAAAATGCATATGAATTTCAAAGTTATTCGTGTTTAATAGATTTATTAAACTTAGAATTCACAGAGCATTTGTTTGTGCTCAGATATTTTGCAGAGTGCCCTCAGAGGAGCTTGGGAAGGTGACATAAACATAAAATTGTGATACTTTCCTCCATACTAAAAAATAATTATTGGATTTAAAAATTTAATTTATAATTCTTAGGAGAAATTGGGGGTGGGGTGGGGTGTTGGGACACACTAACAATTCTCAGCTCTAAAACATTTTCCAAAGAATGTGGCAAAACTATTAACTACTTAGATGTGTTATTAGTGAATCAAAATGCAAGCAATGGGAGCATAAACATCTAACATATTTGCAAATTAACTTTAAAGTTTTCAATAATAACTGGTTATTTTTAAAAACGTAAATATGAAACAGATAATACAGACTCTAATTTATCCAGGAAAAATAGCATTATCCCCCATCTATAAAATTAAATCGTAATTTCTCTCTTGAACATAACATAAAACTACTTTGAGTAACAATGAAACAGAAGCATGGGTTTAGATATGCACCACTCTCTATGATGTACTAATTTACACAGTATGTTTAATAACACAATATTGGATGTTGTCCTTCACTGCATATTATAATTTTGAGAAACATCATTTTTAGCAACATAGATTTACTCTACTGTTTACCTAAATGGACACATAAAAATATATAAAATTTTTAAAAATTCAAGTTATTTTAAGGAGAAATAAGACTAAGTTTAATCACCCACCTTTTTGAAGCTGCAGTTAGAGGAGAAGGCATAGAGTTTATAACACTTTTCACAATATAGTAAATATATATTCCAATTTGCCCATAAATGAAAGATTTTAAAAGAAAAACATGTTTCTTCCAAGTAACTTGTCTCTTCTTGCCCTGGCAAGAATAATTATTAGTGCCCTTAATTTCAAGATTTTTGTTGTTGTCTGTTTCAATTACCTTTTTCATGAAGTATAAACATGTTGAAATATGAGTAATAAAAATTAAAGGGAAAATCTGCTTTTGGAATAAAGTAATTCAAAATCATTTCACTAAGAAGCACCTTTAGATATGCTGGTCTAAATTTTAATATAAAACCTAAACAGTACTTATTTCTGAAGTAGAATTTTCTCCAATTTTAATAACTTCAAAAAGTAACTAAGGACATCAACCTGTGCTTTCTAGATTTTTGAAAGTATTCTCATAATGTAAAGAGTTTAGATATGGCTCATTGTCACAGTTGGGTGGACAGAGATTTCATGATAAATTGGCTACAGAAAACTAAACTCTTAATGACTGAATGTTTTGCATTTTGCTTGAGCCAAATAGATGTTTAAATCATGTACCACCACATTCCCTGCTTAACATTCCAAAGTTTCTTTATTCTTCATAGTTTTCTAATGAACAAATAATTAGTTTTCCTGAGTAAGATTATAAAAAAGTTAACCCTTCTACCAAAAGTGTAAAGACAAATAAAATGCCGACTCACAATACAAATTGTTTACATAGCATTACAAGTGCAGAGATACTGACTGCTGTCTTCACAATGATTGCCCCACCCCTTAAAAAGACTGCAGCAAAGGATTCAATTGTCCAAAATACTCTGAAGTACAGTAATTAAATTCTTCAGTCCATAAACATATCCCTCATCCATTGTGTTGCTAGGGAAAACATGAGCAAAATCTATCATTCGCACTTCTACTTCCGCAATCTCTTGGCAACCAGTGGGAAGATGGTAGAAAACTTTTTCCAGTTGGGAAAGTACATTTCCATTTAAATGTTCCTGTGACAAGCTTTTCCACCCATTGTCTTGCTCTATATTTTCAACTTTCAATGAAGTCTGACTGTGATGCTTTCTTGAATACATTTTTCTGTGACGAGCATCCATCTTGGACAAGCTTTTGCCTACTGAAACCTCTATTTTTCCATTTGTTGTGGAACTTAACACTCAAAAGTTATTATTATACTCCAGTACGTCTGTGTCCGAGAGTAGTCCTTTGGACAAAAACTTTTCTGCCAAAGTTCTGTCATTTGATTTTGTAGTAGTTGGATGAGATGAACCTTCATAAACAAACAGTAATGAACTTGCATAAAAGTTAAGCTGCTTCTGGCTTTCAAACCACTGCAGAATTCTGTCAATCTTCTGAATACTGGCAGCAACAGTATCTTTTCTTAAGCAGAATCCATTATGAAAAAACCTGGAAACTCCTTCCTTTAGAGTTTCTTTTGTTAAGCTTCTTCCATAGTGCTGGTTTTGTGTCTCATAGCTATCAGAATGAACATGATAAACCCTCATGCCAAGCACCAAGAACCCAATCTCTTCCATTAACGGGTACTTGCTGACCTGTTGCTAAATCTTCTCAGATGAGGCAAAAGGATCATAGCTTTTTCGCCCTATCTTTACATCCATTATACAGGGCTTATTAAATTTATGGGTCACATCTTCCAGTTTTAGGTATAAATCATTTGGTGCAGTGGGAGGTGACCAGATGCCGTAATATTTTGGCAAATATTTTCGTAGCTCTAAAAGAACACCATCGGTACAATCAGCAGCATAAACCATATTATAGAATTGTAACTCTCTTGGGCCCCTTGGAGGTGGCTGTAGCTTTTCAAAACTGTGCCATCTGGATGTTGCAAGATACCCATTTTGTCCTTCCCGTACATGTGCCCGGCCACCTGATGCGAGAGGGGCACGCAGCCGTTGAGGAAGCGGAGCGTGCCGCCCGCTGGTTTCGGGGTGCTCTCGGAGTCCGCCTCGCTCGCCGGTGGGGTCCGCACATCTGGGGTGCCTGGCGCCTCGAGCCGAAGCGGGGACTGTGGCTCCGTTGCCATCACGGAAAGCCGAAGCGGTAGCGGCGGCGAGGGCAGAGGGGGAGAGAGAGGGTGGAGGGAGAGCGCGCCGGAGAACCGGGGGTCCCTCAGGAGAACCGGGGGTCGCTC